CAAAACAACATATCACTACTACTTTTTAAAAGAATGAGAATTCTGCTTAAAAAAAAACAAAAACAAAAACAAAACAAAACAAGTCCTGTACCTACTGGAGAATTATTGTACTTGTGTTGAAGAAAGCAAAGCTAGGCCAAGTAGGAACTGTGCTTTCTTTTTAAAGACATAATGAATCCACCTAAAAAAAAAAAAAAAAATCAACGATTATAGGATCTAGCCCTTAGAATTCTGGGGAACTCAGTCTTAGGCTTTTTGAATATTCTTACTGATAGTTTGTATAATATTCAGAATAACAGTGTTTATTAGATATTCATTTGTGGATTTAATTTTTTAAAAGGTGACTAATTATCTCAAGATCAAAACAAAATTGGCCAAGTCCAATTGGTGGAAAGAGTCAGTCATACAAAATAAAGTCACATAGAGGCAAACACATAACTGCATTTCAGTGCAAGGTATGAAATGGAGACAAATAATAATAAATATATGAAAAAAAATCAGGAATCATGTGGTCCAGAAATCATTGTGGTTAAAAGATTAACAAAAGGTTAGGACATGTGAAGAGGATGAAGAACTTACTGGTTTAAAAACAACAATTTTGTTTTTTATTGCATCTGAACTTGCTCACGTTCATATGGGGAAACTAGACAGCATCCAAACTGAGTATTCATAGAAAGAAAATTTTATTTATAAAGGTAATACAAAAAGAATATATATGATACATCAGAAGGTGATTGCACACCAGTACCTTTCAATAAGTGAAAGTTAAGGGTTGCATAGCTGCTCTCCTAGGAAAAAGAGATAACTATAGGGGCGCCTGGGTGGCTCAGTTGGTTAAGTGTCTGACTTCGGCTCAGGTCATGATCTCGGGGTCTATGAGTTCGAGCCCAGCATCAGGCTCTGGGCTGACAGCTCAGAGCCTAGAGCCTGATTCAGATTCTGTGTCTCCCTCTCTCTCTGCTCCCCCCCGCCCCCACACTCTGTGTCTCTCTGTCTCTCAAAGATAAATAAATGTTAAAAAATTTAAAAAAAGAAAGATAACTATATGCAATGAATAACAATATGAAGAAATACAATTACCCTTCTGTGAGAAAAATGTATTCTTATTTCTACATTTCAAAACATGTATCCAACAATAATTGCTTTTAAATTTACTTTATGTAAATATAGTTTGACTGGGTGCCTATAATAAACACATGATGGCTTCTGAATAATAAGTTAGTGAATTATTGAATAATGTATCAAGAAATATTATTTAAATCTTCCCTAACAAGGTGTACGTCAAGGGCAGTCAACTATTAGTGTTAGATTTATAGAAAAGAGTGAGATTTCCGTATCCTTTAAATCCAACACTAAATTACAGGGTCCAGAGTTAGAGCCATCAGCCTCAAGTTTAGGAATTTTTATTAAAACTTTCAACTGGAAGATACATTAATTTAACATGAGCAGGCTATGTATTAGTTCCTATAGTGTAGTTTTCTTGTTTTTAAAGAAAGGTACCTAAAATAAATTGAAAATTCAAAAAAAAAAGAAAATTCAAATAAAGCATTAATATGGAGATGAGAAAAGGAAAAGAGAAAATATCCATTTTAAAAGAACTTCCTGTAGCTATATTTATTTAAAAAAATTATACATTTTAAAGAATAACTTTCAATTATATCCTTCAATTTTTATTTAATATGTCCTTTTTTTCCTGAGAAAAAAACCAACCACTGCAGGCATAAAGTTGGAAGATGCATATTTGAATACCAAAATAAACTGCAGTATTTGCAAGGTTGAAAGACAGGAACAGAGTTGAAATAAAATTTTGCTTTCACATAGGGGTGTGTGGTTGGCTCAATAGATACAGCATGTGACTCTTGATCTGAGGGTCCTGACCTCAAGCCCCATGTTGGGGTTAGAGATTACTTAAAAAAAAATTGCTTTAATATAAGACAGAGAAGTTTTATAAAAAAAATAAAATAAAATAAAAAAATAAAAAAAAAACTTTAATCAAAACTTAGAAAATTAAAAAGTATGCACGTAAAATTCATAGTAGCAAGGATAAGAAAGACATATCCATGTTCTTACTGTCTTCCCAAAAACAGAAATTACTTTACAATCATTAAATAATACTAATACTGAAAAATAAGTTTTTATTCAAAAATAAGGAAACAATAGAAAAAATATAAATTAAATTAGATAATAGAAAGAACACAGACTAGAATTATCATTGATGATTATGTTTTTTGTTGCCTTAAGATTCCAAATTTCTGTATATCAAAAAAATACATCTTATATTTAAAATGTCACACAGAGGTTAAAAGAGGAAGCTAAATATGTGTAATAATATTTAACAAGAAGACTGCATAAGACTGATATCAAAGCATTTTAGTTATTACTTGAAGATTATGGTACAGCTCCTCTTTCAAAATATAGTTGGCTGTCTTAGGTCACTTCATCTCAGTCCCTAAGAGAAAATGAGAGTAACTTATTAAGGGCAAATCTCCCCTCTAATTTTGTTGAATGTTATTAGTTCCCTAATAAACAGGACTCCTTTTTAATGAAGTCTAAGGAACTGACAAGAAATATGATAATTCATTTTAATTACCATGGCTACAGGAAAAATCAACTCAAACAAACTACACTAATTGGCTGGCTAAAGAGCTGACCAACCCACATCACAGAAAGCAGGACATTTCACCAAAATTTTGTTGAAGTATAAACTGACACCACATGTCAATTATTTTTACTTCTAACACTGATCTCTTCTAACAAATCATAAGAATTTTATAAGAATATTAGGTATATTAATTTAAACAGATGTTGTTTTATCACCTTGTGTTAATATAGCACCCTGATCCAAATTTGCCAATGCCATACATTTATTATTATTATTTTTTTAATCAGGACACTCCTTAAGGTATATGTGGTACATAACCTTTGCGTAAAAATTACCAGTGTCCTGAACCACTTTTAGACTGGATACTTCAGATTCATTGTACCTTTGTAAAAACAAAACAAAACAAAACACACACAAACACACAAACAACAACAAAAAACTGATACATAGATTAATTCTAATTATTCTCGCTTTGTTAAAATTTCATAAAGCCTAGAAACATCTAAAATATGTTGCCTCCAAAGACACTTGTTTTAATAAATGATTTTATATATTTGAAAAACTAAAGAACAGCAATAAGTGACCTTTAAAGCCTAATTTTACATTTCTAATATCCAATCAATATGGCAAACTATTCTTCAGTAAGAATCTCAAAGTGTCACATAAACATGAATTCCTTGACAGAGAAGTTTGCACTATATGAATAAGGTTTTCCTGTCTTCCAGGTAGCTTACCTAAAGAGAGAGATTATACATCTTGATCTATTCATACAAACAGGCACATGCAAATAACATCACTGCAATAAACATGTCTACAACACAACTGCTTAGCCTAATCCACACAACTGACTTTAATACAACATGCTAAGTTATACAAAAGTATGCAGTTCACTGAAGCTAATGCAAAGAACATGCTTTCAAATTATCGATTCAGTTATCTTAATGAATAGGCACATCAAAACAAAGTTGAAAGTTTGCCACTAATCTGTGCAGAAGTTAGTATTTGTTACTGTCCATGGCATAGTAAATACATGTAATGATGTGGACTGACTGGACAACTGAGCTATGTTAACTCTAACACTTTACTGAGCAACATGATGAAAAGTAATTAGGGTTAAGATCTTATAAATAAATAATGAAAATGACACAAGAGCCAAACTTTTTAAAAGCACTTTTAACTACAATGTAAGTTGAGGCTGTTTAAAACAATACACTTGCAGGGTGGAATTGAAATTTCAAAGGCAAAATTTCAACTTAAAGATTTACCAGATTTCATTTTATTAATGCTAAATTCTGAATCTGGCTATTGTTCTCTATGCAATCTTAGACAACTTTTTAAGATTTTATTTGAAGTCATCTTTTTCAATTTATGAACATTTGAAAACTACCTAAGGCAAATACCTCAAAAAGTTGAATTGGAAAAAAAAAAAAAATTGTTGAATTAAATGACACATGGAGAGAGAACTGAGCTTTTTATTCCTCATTCCCAGGCTCTAATTGGGTGAGTGATTAGGGTGGGCTTCTCGTTTGTACTGGTGCCCTCTAAGGACTAGATGGACTTTGCTTTAATAAACACTCCATGTGCAATCTGTTCTAGCATTTACACTACTGATGGTAAGAAGCAATCTTCTTTAATGGATGCTGAAAAGCTTCAAGTGAAATCTGTAATTGACAAAGGTTTCACAGAAACGGGCAATTAAGAATAAAATTAAGGAGACGCTCTACAGGAAAAGCACTCAAGCTTTCACAGAATACTACTACTCCAGGAAAATATTTAGTAAAAATAAAAATATAAAAGGACCAAGTATTGTTTCTTCCACATTATTAACTACTTCTGAGGTCACTGCACTTGTTAAAAAGATGACCACAGAGTTAATGTTAGCCTAAAGAAATAATCCACCTGCTAATACTCTTAGGAGGAAAAAGAAGAAAAAGTAAAGAAAAGCCTTAAGTGAAAGTTAAGGCAAGTTCAAAACCGATTTCTTCAAAATAAAAGCTGCTCGGTTTTAGTACCTCAAGATTGGTGGAGTGGTGTATTGACAACAAATCAAAAACTCTTTAAAGAGCGCAGCAGTAAGGGTAGGGAGAACAAGGCACTCTAGCTCAAGGCTCCAGGAACCAACACCACTGCGTAAGTGTTACTAATCCAGAAAGTGATAAAAACACATCCGAATTATTAATATAAGTAAGAGCACGAGAGTGAATGGCAAAGGAACAGAAGTCAGCTATGCTCTTATTGCCCAACCCTCCACCTCTTGCCTTTCCCCCACCCCGCGCCCTCTAGGAGGTTTACCTGTGTGATAGGTTAGACTAAAAGTCTGGGGATAGTTCTCAGGTGAGCCAATCTCCGCCTTTGAGGGTTGGCGGGAGCCTGGTGAGAAGGGGCGGGTAACACTTACTTTGAGCAGCTTACAGCGGATCTGCGCGGAGACCATGTGGCTGTTGCGCAGGTTGCCCACCCGGAACATGAGCGTGAGTTTTCCGTCCCTCATGGAGATCACCGCGTGCTCGCTAAACATCAGGGTCTCCGCGCGCTTCTTGGGCTGGGACATCTTGATGAACATGCAGCCGATGAGGAAGGCGTCCACGATGGAGCCCAGAATGGACTGGAAGAGGAAGAGGATGATGCCCTCGGGGCACTTGTCGGTGATGTAGCGGTAGCCATAGCCGATGGTAGCCTCGGTCTCGATGAAGAAGAGGAAGGCGGAGGGGAAGTTGTAGACATTGGCCACGCAGGGCGTGTAGTTGCCGACGTGGGCTTTGTTCAGGTCGCCCCGAGTGTAGGCGATCACCCACCACATGGACGCCATGAAGAGCCAGGCCACGGTGTAGGTAAGGATGAAGATGAAGAGGTTCCAGCGCCACTTGAGGTCCACCAGGGTGGTGAAGAGGTCCGAGAGGTAGCGGCTCGTCTCGCTGCCCAGGTTGCCGTGCTGCACATTGCACCGGCCGTTCTTGTCCACGAACCGCTGCCG